TAACTGGTTAACTGCACAATAAGTTTAGACGAGCCACACATGCAAATTATCATGCCATAAAAGTGTCTACCCACCTATAAAAAGAGCCAATGAGGTAAGGGGTTGAAAGCATGTAACAACTCCGTAGCTGGTTTCTATCCACCTTTAATTTAAACATGTGCCAGGGCCCTAATAGACAGAGTGGCAATATTATCTGTTCATTTAAATACTTTCGGAGTTTCTAAACCAAAGTAGGGAACAGAATAAAAAAACAAAGGGGAAAAATAGGTCTAACTGAGAGGCTGAAGGAAGAATACTAAAAAGGTACACAGAAGAAAGCCATTATTGGTCAAAGTGACCACATAAGTAGCTATATTCATCTACCGGCATTAATGCAGTGCTGAATGATGCAATTAAAAGTTTAGAGCCTAACTCAAAATGCACTGAACTGATGTATAGAGAGGTTAGATAAACGTTCGGGCACAAACTACCCAGGAAGATCTGTGGAAGAACAGTTTGAGCTGAAAGCTTATCAACATCTCCCACAATGGTACAGTGGGTCCAATAAAAGATATCGCATACAAAAAAACACAACCTTTTACAACTCATGTTCAATTTGTGATGTATTATAAACCCAGGTCTACAAAACTGTAGATACAAAACTGCTGCCCATCTAGTCCTCCTCCATCCTGTATCTGTGCAATTGATTACTCCTCTTTAAGTATAGCACTTAGCACTTGTCCTTATTGAACTGCATCTTATTTATTTCAGACTACCTCTCTAATTTGTAACAATTAATACTCATTCTAATCCTATTCTCAAAAGAGTTTACCATCCTTCCAGTTTAGCACCATCAAATCAGTACATTTAATATGTAATCTCTGTTCCATCATCCAAGTCCATTAATGAAACCACTGAATTTGTACCAGAGCTAGGACAGACCTCTGTGGAACACCACTTGATGCATCCTTCCAGTTTGACAGTGAACTAGTGATATACTGTACTCTTTCAGTACAGTTTTGCAATCAGCTGCACAGCCACCTTCAAGCAATTTCATGTAACCATTTTCCCTAAACTTGTTTATGAGAATTATATACAGGACAGTGTAAAGAGCCCTTATTAAAGGTAATATATTATCACATCTACTATTTTTGTCCTAACCAGAAGGTCTGTTACCCTTTCATAGAAAGAAATTAGTTTGGTTTGAAATGGTTCATTCTTGACAATTCCAAGTTGTCTGTTACTTACTGGTATCACCTTGTTACCTTAAGGATGCTCTCAAACTGGTTGCTTATTTGTTTCAGTATCTCTCAAAAAATTAGGCTGACTGGCTAATAATTGACTCTTTTCTTCCCCTGTTTTAAAAATAAATGCTATATTTGTCCTTTCCCAGTCTTCTGGAATTCCACTTATCCCCACAGAGTTTTGAAAGATAATCACTATCAGCTCTGAGATTGTTTCAACCAGTTCTGCAAGTATTCTGGGGTGAATTTTGCCAGGTGATTTTAAAACATCTAACTTACCTAAATACTCTCTAATCTGTTCTTTTCCCATGGTAGTCTGAATTCTTACCCATTATCACTGGTACTAATTTTGTTAGACATATGATCAGTTACTCTTCTTAGTAAAAACTGAACAAAATTCAGTAATTGAACAAAATTAAACACTTCAAATTTCTTGGCATCATCTTGTCAGAAGGGGAGGAATACCTAGATTGGCTGGAAGCCAAAAAAAGAGGAAGATGTCATTGCCAGTAATTGCAACTGAAATGTTGAGTTCTCCCTTCTCAAGATGTGTTAAAAAGTCTAAAATGAGTCTGGGACCCTGCAGCTACAGGGTTCATAGAAGGAAGGAAAAACTAATTAAATGGCTTTCAGGGCAGGGGATGAAAAGCCCCAGAGTTCTTGGGAGACCAGGCACCCAGGCCTTTTGTCTGCACTCCACACTTCTTCCACTAGCATACAGATATTTGGACATTTAACCCATTATTTTTTCTTCTGGTCTCTGTCCTTACCCTATACATAATGATACCTTCCTGTTTTAGGCCCTTGTACAGATCATCAGGGTTTTATATCTGTGCTCTTACCAACAAAGCAAGATAATTTATGCATTTTGAAATAATAGTTTTTAAAACTGACAACAAAGACACACTCTTGCATCGTGTCAAGCTCTACTGAATGCAGCAGAAAAAGAAATTCCCTAGCATTTTTGTCTACATAATAAAGAGAAATGTATAGTGCTAAAGATGCTTGCAATTAACTGAACATTAGTTATTTATATCTATATCTATATATAGATATAGATACACACACATATCTATACACATCCACCCCCTTTCCCTCTCCCCTCCCTCAGCCCCTATATACATATATAATCTAGATATGCATGCTGGACCAAACTTAGCTGTTAGTGATGATTTACAATCCAGAATAAAACTCAGCTAAATATCTAGTCAAACCCAGCATATTTGCTATAGAATGAGGGGGCTGGGACAGCAGGAGGGGGATAGGGGCTCATGGCAGATCCCCCACACAGCATGGGGCAGTAGGGTGAAGCAGGGATCACCCTCTCCCACACTGCTGGCAGCATCTGGTGGGTGGAGGCTGGGACAGCGGGCACAGGACGGGGGCTTATGAAAGAGCCCCCACACAGCACGGGGCAGTGGAGGCAGCGGGATTGTCCCCCCACCACCATCACCTGGCAGCAAGCAGTGAGTGCCAGCCTTGTTTTTTTTTTTAGAGAGCAGGGGCACTGGGGCCAGGCGGGGCAGCCATTGACAGGGCTGGGAGTGCGGGTGGGGGATGGGACCTGTTCAATTTGGAGATTTGGCTGATTTGGCAGAGGCCAAATCTCTGAATCAGATTTGGCCAAATCAATTCGAGACAGTGATTCGAATCACCAAATCGAATCACTGTCTTCCGAATCAGCCAAATCTGAAGCGAATACTAAGCACTTTGCACAGGCCTACTAGTTCAGTCACACATTTGTTAACCACTCCAGATGCAAATTTAAAATGATCTATCAGGAAATGCAACATTCTTTTTCTTTATATTGCAAAAATAGGACTTAACTTTAACAAAACAGTGTTTATGAAACTATTCTTATAAAAGAAAATGTTGGCAGAATCTGCATCCCAAAGTAATTACACAAAATGCAGTTGGCAAAGGAAAGCTTTCACCAGTAATCCTTTCTGAGCAAATGATACACTGAAAGAGTAACACATACCCACCGACCCACACCCTACAAAATACACTTGAAAGATGGCCTGGGAACAACGGAGCTGTTTCCAGGCAGCCCCTCCTCATAGCCATGGCCCTTGCCATATTTCATATTTCCAGGAGTACAAAGCAAACCGCATCCTGGTTTTTAAATATATCACAGCATTTTTATATTTTCATTTCCTGATGGCAGAGATTGTCTTTTTGAAAGCCATATATGTTTCAACTTCTTATCAGATATTTGGTACTAAAATATTTCTGTTTAAAATTATTTAAATAAAAGTTGAACATGAATTCTAGAAAGTTCCTTAGACTACTGTTCTACAAATATATTTTAAATGGTTAAAAATACATTTGCAATAGATAAAGGCTTGATACAGTTTTTATCTGAAAATTCATGATTCTTAGAATACATAAAACGATTAAAATTACAGTTCCCTAGCCATACAATTACAATCTACTAAAGTAGCTCCTTTGTATTTTATGATTAGTTGATACATCTGTGGTTTTTAAAAAAAATTTTACTGCAATTCTCTCACCATTAAAATACCAACAACAATGAATACATATACAATCTAAAACTGAACCTCTAGTCCTGATGCATGACTTATACAGCTATAAGCTTATGGTATAAGCCCTAGGCCTGTGATGTTTCTTAGGGTAACTTTTCTTCTACAGAAGACAAAGTACATAAAATCATAAACTACTAAACTTCTATAAAACCTCATCATAAGAAAAACAAGTTACAGCATCAAGCATAAAGAGCTGTACACCTGATGTTTATAAGATCCTAACAGCTCTGCACTGTGGTTTTTTTTAAGTTTGACATTACTCCTGCTGTTAAGTGTTCACCAGCAGTCTTCATGCAAAATTTATGTTTCAATGATGTGAATGTCTTGCAAAAAAGTTAGATAACAAAATACAGATGTATGACTGCAAGCAGGATGACCCAGAAGGGAGAATAAACTAAGAAATAAAGCCACATATTTAAGACGCACACAATTCTGGAATAAGCAACAAAAAAAAAATTAATTAGGTGGCACCCTGAAAGGAAACTATCCACCCAAAATGTGCAGTGTACTAGAAATATTTTGTGGTAAGTTTCATATATATGGGAAATAAGAAGCACACACACGGCTGTTTTCTATAGAAGAAAGCCCTACAGCAGCTGATACAATACAGGGTAGTACAAAGCCACAGCCATTCTTCAAAATTTAAATCCGTTACCCGTGGAACTAATACAGTTATGAACTAAAATTAGTTACCTTGTGTCAACTGGTGCTGGTGGTTGCCATCTTGCTAGAAAATGATGTAGTTTACAGCACTAGGGTACAGAAACTCTATGAAAGAGACTGCTCCATAACAACCATGATTCCTAGCTAGATAGAAATCCACCCCTTATAGGACAGTGTAACAGAAAATCTTTGCTACCACCAACACCATTTACACTCAGTCTATACCCTGTATACCTGTATTTTCCTGATATTGCTACTTCCACCTCCTGTTACTTTTTGTTTCTATCAGAGCATCCTTTTATTTGTGTTTTATTATAATGTAGTCTCTTTTTCTGCTTTCTGTTCTTTGAATATTCCTGTTTGCTACCCTTGCAGTTTTCCCAAACACCAAAAGGGAAACTGTTGCTTAAAGAATCAGTGACAAGTTTTGCAAACATTAATTTGTAACTACAGCAGTATGTTATTGATATACAAAAACCTATCTTTTAACTAGATTCTCAACCCCCTCCCCCCCAGCAAAACTTAACAGATAATTAAGGTTAACACACGCTGGCACTGAAGTACTTACATTGCATTTACTTTATCTTCTGGGCCCTGAACTTGGCCAGTCACTGTTCCTTGTCTGGTATTTTTAACCCAGCCAACTACTCCTAATTTTCTTGCTTCATCTTCTGTGTACTGAATTAGGGGAAAAAAGACAGAAAGTCACTAACATATTCAGTACCCACAGTTATCATACAGAAAATGTACACAAGATATTTAAGACTGAAGTTTCATTTTCACAGCTTGCTTAAGACCTACTTTTTGCAGGACGCCATATTTTTCCTGCTAGTTTTGAACATGCAGAATCAGCTAGTTTTTAAACATGAAAACATGTAATCAGTTTATTACGACATTTTTCTTTACTGGTTATACTGTTGCAATAATGCAAGTAGCAGGGTAACTTCTTTCTGATGGTTTTATGTTTAAAACTTTTGGTGATGTAAGAGCTTCATTTGGGGGGAGAGACGAAAAGACCTACTTTTTCTGTGTAAAGAATTTTCAGCCTATATTATTTATGCAGGGGTCAAGGGTGTGACTCCATCACCCCAGACAATTCAGTTCAAAGAAATGTCTACAAAAACTGTGTATGTGGCACCTGGAGGTTAGAAAAAAACAGGCTTCTTTTGAAAAGGTACTTCTGGACCTGCTATCTTTCTTTAAAGGAGCTATGACATTCCATCTTCAAGCAAACCAAATGTCAAAATAACTAGCAAATTCTCTCCAGAGGTAAGCAAAGAATAAAAAATAAAACCACTTCATTTAAAAGAAGAGAAAACTGTACCAACAATTAAAGACTTCTTTTACACCTTACTCCCTGTAGTTCCCAGCTGTCTGAAGGATTCCTTCATATGAAAGTGCCTCTGGAGCTCCCCCTTTTACATCAACCTATCCTCTATTCTCTCATATTTCCCTCTCTGCATCAGATATAATGAGGAGGTTGGGTTTCTCCTTCCTTTTCTGCTCTGTGCAGCCCATTTCTCTATTGTCACTTCTTTTTCTTCTTCTGAACAGTCTGACTCTTCCTTCTATCCCCTTTCACATCCATCCACACAATGTTGTCATTCACTGTTAACCCATCTCTTTCTCATCAGCCTTCCTCTTTGATTTGGTCTCCAGATCTCTCCCCCACACCTTGGAAGCTCATCCTCAGTGATGAACTTGTTAATACTGTTTAGCTGCATGTTTGGTCACCCTAGCCTCTTCACTAACCTGCACTCCTTGTTCGATACTCCCATTTAAAAAAAAGGGCCCTTCGCTTGACTTGGCCTTCATCAAGCACTGCTTGCTCTCTAATCTGTCTGCTGTTGTGTTCTCTCTCGATCACCATTACCTGGTCACTTTCAGCTCCCTCCTTCCTGTTGCTTGGCCTTTCAGTGTGTGCCCGCCTGGTCTTGAAGAGGCACTCTCATGCGCTCTCATGCCACTTTGGAGCGCACACCCGGGATTGGCTGCTGTGTTTGTTCCAGCAGTCTCAGAGAGGCCCACGATTTCCCTGGGGGAAGCCCAGAAGCTTTCCTGCCACAACTTTGATCTTCCTTTCAGTGGTGGGGCCCCCTCCTGTGGTCTCTCTTGGATCGGTCGCACTCCCTGGTGTGTATCCGTGGGGCTCCACCTCCCCTATACCCCATCCATGCGCCAGCCTCTAGAATGGCCACTTGATGGTTGGATGGCTCACCCTCCAGTGTCAGCTCCTGTTCTCTCCTCATTGGCTGGGCTACAGATGACCTCTCCCAGCCCTACATCTCTTTGGGATGTTAAGCCATCCTTGCTTTTCTGCCGGGTCTTTCGTTATAGCTCGGCTGCCTGCCATGCTATCCCAGCCACTCCCAACCCTGGAGCACTGCCCGTATCTCTGACCCTCATCTCAGGGTCCTTCTGGGCAATCCCCCAAAGTAAAAGAAAAATAAGAAATTAACAGGAAGGATAAGGGGGTAGGGCTTTGGCCCATCCCCACTCACTGGCCCGGCATCTGTGGCTCTTGCAGTCCATCAGCATGGACCCCTCCAACAAGTCTGTCCCCAGATCTCTTGAAGGTTGTCGGCACCACCAGTGCCCGGCATGGAACGCGCTTTTGCTGCCTGCTCCCAGCACTGCCTCCCCCGCTGTCTTCTTGGTGCCAGCTTTTATTTTAGCGGGGTGGCATCATGGGATGATGTCATCTGCCCACACCACTTTTAACTGGAGATAAACACAGCTCACAAACCACACGGGTGCTCCGTGCCGACACGGCTCACCTGTCTCTTCCCAGCCTGAAACAAGTAAGTTTGCCTTGGCTTTAGGGCTTTTCTTGCAGGGATGGACTGTCTCCGTCCTGGGTCGTGCCACGGAGGGGTCTCTTGTGCCCCTGTTTCCATCCCCCCAGGACACAGTGACTTCTAGTCCATCAGTTCTGTGATCTTATTATTTGCTCTCATCCTTCGTTTGTTGATATATGCCTGTGGACCATATTTCATTCTCTTTCACCTCAATGTCCATCTACCCAGCTCCCAGCCCTAGCTCACTCCAAACATCCATTTCTATTCACATTCAGTAAAATATGATGACTGTGAAACTCAGTTTGAACTGGGCCTACTCACAGAAGTTAAAATACAAAATATTGATGACAATTGCATAGGTGCAAGAGAATGTAAGCTTGTGGCTGGACCTTCTGAAAAGAAATAATGAGGCATCACTTCCAGCCTATCTTACTATATGATGATTTTAAGCAGGCTCCTTTGTCTGGTATGTAACTGTGTGAAATATCTATCCTTGATTAATTAGTATAGTAAATATTTTTTTGCAAAGACTCATGTTTGTGTGTAGAAACAGGCATTCTCCATATGGGCTTTGATTTACTCTTTTTTTTTTTTTTTAACTCAGTGGTTCCCTTGATCTTCAAAGGATGACTCCTCAAAAACCTTAGGTTTTTCCTGGTTGTTAATCAATTTCTTGATAGGTTCCAACTTAGTAGAAATTGATAGCCTCTTGTTACTTAGGGAGGTTAATTCAATCAAAATCGGGACTTTCTGATAACCAATAATGAATAGTTAGATTAACAGAATTTATTGCTTTGGATGCTCTCTCAATTTACACAACTACAAGAATGCTTTCGAGGTGCTAAGTTGAAGGATATAAAAGAGAAACGAAGCAGCTAACAGGGCACGCATCAAAAATGAGAAACCATTGTAGCAAAAACTGCTACTGCACCCAGCTGATTTTCTGGTGAATGGATCCATACCTTGAGAAGCTGACAAGACTGAGACTGCCTTTTTGCTGGTATTGGTGAGATACTATCACTTTTATAGATAAATATACTGGACTTTGCTTTGCTTTAGGCTCATTTAAAAGTGAACACTTGTAGTAAATAAAGCCTTTCTGTCATTCATCAAACGAGTCATCGTGTCAATCCTTTATACACTAGTCCTGAATCTCATTCCATGACTTAACAAAATCCCGTGACTAGATACTCTTTCCCAGACAATTCTTCCAGCCAAATTAAATCTCAGACTCCTTCTCTGACATTCCTTTGTAGATAGCTAGCTAATAGAGAGGTCTGCGAGGTCTTTAACCAGGCTAATAGAGAGGTCTTAATTGCTCCCCAATCTCTCTCCACCAGTTCTTTTCTCAGTGACTGTAGTTATCACCATTCTGCCCTCACAGGCCTATACTTCGGGCATCATCATTGACTCAGATGAGTCTCTAGGCCTTCGTATCCAAAGTAATTTTGCAGTTTTTTCAGCATAATATCTCAAAGAGGCAGAGCCCTCCTTCCTTCTATCCAAAAAACTAAAACTCTTATCCAGACTCTCACAAAAGCTTCTCTCTCAGCTACTACAACATCCTTTTCTCTGGCCTTGAAAAATCTAATCTTGTCCCAAATGAACAGTTCCATTTAGAATGCTGCCACAAAGACCATTTCCTTTGCTCATCACTATGACTGGTACCCCTCTTTCTGCATCCCTCCCCCTTTCTGGATCATGAGATGAATAGCTTCTTGTCTTCACTTTTTCAAAAAGCTCCACAACTGTAATCTCTCATTCACTATGAAGTAATTGACTCCATCCTCAATCAGCTCAAGAAGCATGTCTGCAGCGCTCACCTGATAATTTTTCAAACACCTTCAATTTTTCACCCATGCTGTTCAAGATTCTTGGAAGAAGCTCCCCATAAATATCTGCAGTTATGTTACTTTTATCCTTCAACTTGCTCTTTCAAGCTCTTATCTTTTGTGTTAAGTTAGGCCACTGATATTTCATAGATTTCATAGACATTAGGGGTGGAAGGGACCTCGGAAGATCATCGAGTCCAGCCCCCCGCCCAAAGGGCAGGAAGTCAGCTGGGGTCATAGGATCCCAGCAAGAGAAGCATCCAATTTGCTCTTGAAGGTGTTCAATGTAGGTGCTTGAACCACCTCTGATGGCAGGCTGTTCCAGACCTTGGGGGCTCGGACAATAAAGAAATTCTTCCTTATGTCCAGCCTGAAAT